TACAATGATAACTACAGTTAGAGCAATGATAACTACAGTTAGAACAATAAACAATGATAACTACAGTTAGAACAATGATAAGTACAGTTAGAACAATGATAAGTACAGTTAGAACAATAAACACTGATAAGTACAGTTAGAACAATAAACAATGATAACTAAAGTTAGAAGAATAAACAATGATAACTACAGTTAGAACAATGATAACTACAGTTAGAAAAATGATAAGTACAGTTAGAACAATTATAACTACAGTTAGAACAATAAACAATGATAACTAAAGTTAGAACAAGGATAACTACAGTTAGAACAATGATAAGCACAGTTAGAACAATAAACAATGATAACTACAGTTAGAACAAGGATAACTACAGTTAGAACAATGATAACTACAGTTAGAACAATGATAACTTCAGTTAGAACAATGATAAGTACAGTTAAAACAATGATAACTACAGTTAGAACAAACAATGATAACTACAGTTAGAACAAACAATGATAACTAGAGTTAGAACAAACAATGATAACTACAGTTAGAACAAACAATGATAACTACAGTTAGAACAATGATAAGTACAGTTAGAACAATGATAACTACAGTTAGAACAATGATAAGTAAAGTTAGAACAATAATAAATACAGTTAAAACAATGATAACTACAGTTAGAACAATGATAATTACAGTTAGAAAAATAAACAATGATAACTACAGTTAGAACAATAAACAATAATAACTACAGTTAGAACAATGATAAGTACAATTAGAACAATGATAAGTACAGTTAGAACAATGATAATTACAGTTAGAACAATAAACAATGATAACTACAGTTAGAACAAGGATAACTACAGTTAGAACAAACAATGATAGCTACAGTTAGAACAAACAATGATAACTACAGTTAGAACAATGATAACTTTAGTAACAACAGTAAGGATAACTACAGTTAGAACAAGGATAACTACAGTTAAAACAAACAATGATAACTACAGTTAGAACAAACAATGATAACTACAGTTAGAACAATGATAACTTTAGTAACAACAGTAAGGATAACTACAGTTAGAACAATGATAACTACAGTTAGAACAATGATAACTACAGTTAAAAATAAACAATGATAACTACAGTTAGAACAATAAACAATAATAACTACAGTTAGAACAATGATAAGTACAATTAGAACAATGATAAGTACAGTTAGAACAATGATAATTACAGTTAGAACAATAAACAATGATAACTACAGTTAGAACAATAAACAATGATAACTACAGTTAGAACAAGGATAACTACAGTTAGAACAAACAATGATAGCTACAGTTAGAACAAACAATGATAACTACAGTTAGAACAATGATAACTTTAGTAACAACAGTAAGGATAACTACAGTTAGAACAAGGATAACTACAGTTAAAACAAACAATGATAACTACAGTTAGAACAATGATAACTTTAGTAACAACAGTAAGGATAACTACAGTTAGAACAATGATAACTACAGTTAGAACAAAGATAACAACAGTTAGAACAATGATAAGTACAGTTAGAACAATGATAACTACAGTTAGAACAATGATAACTACAGTTACAGCAATGATATAATTACAGTTATAACAATGATAACTACAGTTAGAACAATGATGACTACAGTTAGAGCAATGATAACTACGGTTAGAACAATTAACTACAGTTACAATGATAACTACAGTTAGAGCAATGATAACTACAGTTAGAACAATAAACAATGATAACTACAGTTAGAACAATGATAAGTACAGTTAGAAAATGATAAGCTACAGTTAGAACAATAAACACTGATAAGTACAGTTAGAACAATAAACAATGATAACTAAAGTTAGAAAATAAACAATGAACTACAGTTAGAACAATAAACAATGATAACTACAGTTAGAACAATGATAACTACAGTAGAAAATGAAATACAGTTAGAACAATTATAACTACAGTTAGAACAATAAACAATAACTAAAGTTAGAACAAGGATAACTACAGTTACAATGATAACTACAGTTAGAACAATAAACAATGATAACTACAGTTAGAACAAGGATAACTACAGTGAACAATGATAACTACAGTTAGAACAATGATAACTTCAGTTAGAACAATGATAAGTACAGTTAAAACAATGATAACTACAGTTAGAACAAACAATGATAACTACAGTTAGAACAAACAATGATAACTACATTTAGAACAATGATAACTTTAGTAACAACAGTAAGGATAACTACAGTTAGAACAAGGATAACTACAGTTAAACAAACAATGATAACTACAGTTAGAACAATGATAACTTAGTAACAACAGTAAGGATAACTACAGTTAGAACAATGATAACTACAGTTAGAACAAAGATAACAACAGTTAGAACAATGATAAGTACAGTTAGAACAATGATAACTACAGTTAGAACAAGGATAACTACAGTTAAAACAAACAATGATAACTACAGTTAGAACAATGATAACTTTAGTAACAACAGTAAGGATAACTACAGTTAGAACAATGATAACTACAGTTAGAACAAAGATAACAACAGTTAGAACAATGATAAGTACAGTTAGAACAATGATAACTACAGTTAGAACAATGATAACTACAGTTACAGCAATGAATATAATTACAGTTATAACAATGATAACTACAGTTAGAACAATGATGACTACAGTTAGAGCAATGATAACTACGGTTAGAACAATGATAACTACAGTTACAATGATAACTACAGTTAGAGCAATGATAACTACAGTTAGAACAATAAACAATGATAACTACAGTTAGAACAATGATAAGTACAGTTAGAACAATGATAAGTACAGTTAGAACAATAAACACTGATAAGTACAGTTAGAACAATAAACAATGATAACTAAAGTTAGAAGAATAAACAATGATAACTACAGTTAGAACAATGATAACTACAGTTAGAAAAATGATAAGTACAGTTAGAACAATTATAACTACAGTTAGAACAATAAACAATGATAACTAAAGTTAGAACAAGGATAACTACAGTTAGAACAATGATAAGCACAGTTAGAACAATAAACACAATAAAATGATAACTACAGTTAGAACAAGGATAACTACAGTTAGAACAATGATAACTACAGTTAGAACAATGATAACTTCAGTTAGAACAATGATAAGTACAGTTAAAACAATGATAACTACAGTTAGAACAAACAATGATAACTACAGTTAGAACAAACAATGATAACTAGAGTTAGAACAAACAATGATAACTACAGTTAGAACAAACAATGATAACTACAGTTAGAACAATGATAAGTACAGTTAGAACAATGATAACTACAGTTAGAACAATGATAAGTACAGTTAGAACAATAATAAATACAGTTAAAACAATGATAACTACAGTTAGAACAATGATAATTACAGTTAGAACAATAAACAATGATAACTACAGTTAATGTCCTCACCAACTGTGTTTGTTATAATATTGAGTTAATAAGAACACACGGAACACCAGGTTTGTGGGTTATGGAAGTGTGGGACAACTGCTCTATATGCTGTATTTTGTGTATCTGCGAAGAGCTGGGTGCTGAGCGGTTCCCAGGGCATATGCTCGTATTGAAAAGCTGGATCTTGGGAAAAGTCGATTAGGACATATACTGATTTCCAGCTGGGTCCTAATCTGCCCAAGACATATACTTTTACCGCGCGGATTTAGAGCTGGGTCCTGAGTCGGCTAGAACATATACTCCATTTAGAGCTGGGTCCTAGTCTGCCCTGCAAGACATAAACTCTGAGCTGGGCCCTGGGAAGAAATGATCAGGGAAATCTTTCTTAGAACACTGATCTGGCTCAGTACATATACTCATATGCAGAAATAGAGTGAATTTGTAAATAGGAATTGGCTTTATGCCAGGTTATCAAATTTCGTAAAGAAAACGTGAGGTCTATGGTAAAATTGCGACCTAATCCTAGAGCAATTGCCTCAACCACTTCATTCTTTATTTTGTATTTCATTAAATAAAGCAATAATGACATTGATATATATTATTAGTACAATATTTTTTTTATTTTTTTTTTTATTTTTAGTAGTAAATGTTTCTAACTTGTAATGTCCAAAGAGGATAATGTTTATATGCATATCGATGCGAATAGTTCACTCATGCTGAGAATTGAATATTTCCATAGCCATTGTAATAAGGTTGTGCCAAGCGGCCAATTAAGAAATAAGTTTGTGTACATACTTCGATTATGTTGCAACTATACTTCCCAGTTCCATCTCGTTACATTTGCCGTCCAAAGGTGGAGGAAGGGGTGGATGGTGGGTGTCTCTTTTACTCGGTCCTGAGAGCTCGCAATCCAAATGAGAATGATAGCCAGATACGGCTAACACGGGTAACTGCCTGTGGGCTTAACTATAGTTTCATTGTTATATTTATGAATAGGTCAAACATAGTAGTTTGGACATAGTTAATAAACGATACTGGGTGCAGTAGCCTGCGGGTTTGGCAAGCAAATAATGAAAGTCTGTGATATAGTCTTTCTTTGTTTCGACAATATGTTTAATCTATAAACTTCCAGGTCTATAGTGCGTTGAGTATCGTCCATTAACAATAATTTGTACTCGTAAAAATTATCATTTAGAACAATAAACAATGATAACTACAGTTAGAAAAAGGATAACTACAGTTAGAACAATGATAACTTCAGTTAGAACAAACAATGATAACTACAGTTAGAACAAACAATGATAACTAGAGTTAGAACAAACAATGATAACTACAGTTAGAACAAACAATGATAACTACAGTTAGAACAATGATAACTACAGTAATAAACAATGATAACTATAGTTAGAACAATGATAACTGCAGTTAGAACAATGATAACTACAGTTAGAACAAAGATAACAACAGTTAGAACAATGATAACTACAGTTAGAACAAACAATGATAACTACAGTTAGAACAAACAATGATAACTGCAGTTAGAACAATGATAACTGCAGTTAGAACAAGCACAAATTGCAGTTAGAGCAAGAATGACTACAGTTAGAACAAACGTGACTACAGTTAAAACAATGAAAGGAAATTGAAAGGAACTGCAACAATAGCTGATAACAAGCAATGATTTACACCAATTGCTGCCTTATTAGGTAAGATTTTAACTCGACATTTCAGAACACCAAGAGTGGCTTTACCAATGAGCATTGCACCAAGTTTAACATAAGATCTTCTTTGTAAATACATGCATGATGAAGACAGCAAGTTTGGTCTTCGTGTTACCAACGTACGTAAAGATAAATGGATTGCTTATGGGGATGGAATGCTCAAGAACACAAAGGATGAGGTAAACTCTCAAATGTTCATTTTGTGCTTTGCTAATTGTTTTGAAACCTATTGATTTTAACATGATAAAATATACAGCAAGGTTCCTTAATTATCCTTTTCGCCAAACCACTGTATATTCTTCCTTTGATTGTATATTTCTAATGACAACTTACTACATTGCGCTATTATAATTTAATTCTGTAGCGAAACCAAATGCAATTTTTATTGAGTTCACAAAAATGAATTCAACAGTTTACTGAAATTAACAACTGACAATGTATTTTCGTTAATACGTGATGCATTAGGTGTTGCCATCACCCAGGTCTTGCAGGGGTGCACATTAGGGAGGTGTATTGTGAAATTAGTCCTAAGCGACGGGAGTCCCAAGACATATGTACTACACCAGAACTACACCAGTGTCTTACACATATTTATGCATTTTACATCATTACAGTAGCAAAATAATATACCAAAATTATGTATTCACTTTATAACTAACAAATGTTTTACCTGTTTATTTGCCAAATGACTGAGTTTAGTCGTCCATACTCCATCGACCATACTCCCGGGGGCCAGGGCGGAGCACAAACCAACAGTCAATTTTACTAGTTTAATTGCACTTTACAATTTCCTATAGCATTTTGCAATATTTCATTCATTTGCTATATAATACAAATATATAAATATTTACATTAGTTTTATCTATTTATATACTTGTCGATTACAATGACAAAATCATCCAAAAAAGATTGTTTATGTTTCTTAAGAAAAATTTCGAAATTGCTGTGGAAGCATCACAAGCATCTGTTGACCAAGTAGTCAAAGCGTACAAAAACCCTGATGAGAAAATAGATCCAAGTGCAGTCACTGATCTCTTACCATTTGTGGACGAGAGTGAGAAAAACAACACCCCATTGTTTCAAGTCAAAGATGGTAAACTTCATCGTAGATCAGATATCAATAATCTTCAAGATAAGAAAACTATCACGAATTGGTGGGGATCAACTACGGCTGTGAAACTACATTGGTCGTATTCACCTCACAATTCTGCCATATAATATTTCTGCGACACTTTTATTATGTAACTTGGACAGTGTTATGAGTGTAGTGTGCGACATACTATGCTTTGATTACCGCAATGCATACTGGGGTAGGTATAAAAAGAGGACTGCCCAGTTTTGTATTTTAGTCTTATATTATATTTGTTATACGATACTTGCCTTCGTTTCTTCTTGCTTTGGCACGTTACTACAATGACTATACAAAACGGTACCCTTAGCTAGTGATCTATATGTATAAATAAATTAGCATGCAGTATGGTTAAACTCAGGGGCGTATCGAAGAGGGTGCTGTTTGGGAGTCGCACCTACCTGCAAAGTTCATGCTAACATGCATGAAAGCATATTTAGACTGGGGATCCAAGAATAGTGCAAAGTTATATAGATAATGCTAAGGGGAACGTTTTGACTTATGGCAGTAAAAATATAAAGTACTAGGTTAAACATTACCCTTGATCATACAGGAAATTACTCAAAGTACTCAAATTACGTTAGCTGGTAAATTATAATTTTAGTTGCTCATGCAAAGTATTACAGGGTTCGGCAAAAAAACGCCATGTCTCTTCTCTGCAGAATATCAGGTATCGACTTGGTATCGACATAATATATTCGTGTAAAGATCTATCCATACATAAACAACACAGCGTCGTTTCTTCCTAACCTCTTAGCTCTATTGATGGAATAAACCGTCCAAATTATATTTGTGTTTAATTGAATGCTCGTAATTTATAACATAAGTTATGAATTGCATCGATTCGAGTTACTCGATTTTTGCACCCGGAATGTTTTAAGCAACACTCGTCGCTCCTCGTTTCTTTACATCATGAATATTTATTGTTCAAGGCCAGGTGGCACAACGAGTGACTTACTCGTTTGAATTTTCGCCACTCATCATTTCGTGGTAAAATATCGGGAGTTCTCCTCCACATCTGTGCATGTATGAAATTACGTATGAATGGTATGATTAAATCCTTTATTATATTTAAAAATTTAAATAAAAAGCGTTTCTCTCAATCTGATTGGTTAAAAATAGTCTAATTAATTCGCAAATCGCACTATTTTTGCGCATTAATCACATCATTTATAAGCCAATAACATTGAAGCTCTGCGCCACAAAAACCAATCAGATTTAGTATTTCAGTGTAACTATCCGATCAAATTACAGGGGAAAATGGGACAAAATTTTTATTAATTTAAATTTTTAATGGCCCCGCAAAATTTCTTAAGAAAAATAGATGAAAATTACTCGAACACGAGGAATAATTTGTATCTGTTAAGGTGGAAGTCAAAGCCCTATGTACTGAACAAACTGTTTGTTTACATTTTGAACTTCACTATTTTTTAAAATACGATATGCTGTCTGAATATCCAGTGGCGTAACCAGCCTGACGATTTTGTCCCGCTGTGAAAATTTCCAGTTATTATAATTATTCTTGTCTTTAGAAATTTATTGTTTTCACAGTCAGCTAAAATATTAACATAGTGGGACAAATCGACACTGTGAATATCTAACACTATTTAAGTTCGTTACGCTTCTAAATTAATAAGAAGTAGAGTTTATGTTAAGAAAAAATAAGAAACATGCGAAATTTAGGCAATTTTCACATCAAAGGTCCCTCAATTGTTATGAGCTAAATCTATGCGCAGAACCTCTGGCGCTAAACGGACTTGACTTCCACTTTAAATATCTTCTTTCACTTATATATCACTACTTGTATCCAAATTGTCGTAACCGGCCTGAAAACAGCTCCTACGCGTATTAAACTGCAAAATTACACGACAAATTAAAAGAGCTGATAAAAACTTATTGATCAGCAATACTGACAAAAAATTATATTACGGAGTTTAAGCTTCGCGTTATTCTGGAAAAAGGCAAACAGCAAGGCCTTACTTTCTTTACAGAGTTTCCAATCCTCTCCTTCGAATTCGTCTCATATTTTTTTCTAATCTTATGTTATATGGCTGATGCAGTGAACTCTATATATATGGAAGGCTCGCTCCAGTTCAAAGTGTGAAGCCAAACATAGCGGATCATGAAGGCTGCTTGGGTACCGAACCAGTCCCCCACGATGCATAAAATGCGCGAACCGCGCGTGGAAATTAAAAACACGAATTATAAAATTATGACGAAAAATAAAAAAGCTAACATTTCGGACGTTACAAAGTTTTAAAATTACGAAGTTTTTAAAAATGAATACATACAATTTGTTACAACCTTACATGGCAATATTTTTCTTTCTAGAGAGGTAACTTATGCCGTATATTTGTGTTGTGTTTACAAAACTGACCGAGTTCAACTCCTACACGTTGCCACCATTTTGAAATTTAACAGCTCGTGCGTGGAGGTCTGGTTCGGTACCCAAGCAGCCTTCATGATCCGCCATGTTTGGCTTCACTTTTTGATTACGCAATGTACTAGAGCGAGCCTTCCATATATATAGAGTTCACTGGGCTGATGTCAAAGCAATGATTGCGCCCGGTGCTTTAAGCCACTGTTACGCCAGGGAATTTTCCTTGCACCTTGTGGATCCCCAAAACCTTCTCACTTTGTGCATAATCATCATCATCATCATCATCATCATCATCATCATCATCATCATCATCATCATCATCATCATCATCATCATCATCATCATCATCATCATCATCATATCATCATCATCATCATCATCATCATCATCATCATCATCATCATCATCATCATCATCATCATCATCATCATCATCATCATCATCATCATCATCATCATCATCTATTCTATTCATCCATAGAAATTCTATTTTCTGTACATCTTTGGCGTTTTTAATCCACTGCATGAAGGCTATTATCATATTTTCCGTCATCAATCCTAAGCCCAATATAGCTACCGCTGCAGAAAAGGGTCTTTTTGTGTTGTTTTTTTAATCAAGCCCACTAGACATGTCAAGTTGGGTGACAATATATTATAACGTATTCCTGCAGCAAATGATTCACAAAAGAGGCATATTAATTTTTATTTTATCGAGTAACGTTTCGTCTCATTACGTGCAAGCGACATCTTCAGACTAAATACATGCAGCTAAAAATGTATTATAGAGTACAGGCTGTTAGTGTAAGCTCTAACACCATCGAACGCAAACAGTAATCCCAATTGAGGCGGGGAAAACAGTCCAAAACGCACTCAGAATCGGTAGATAGACTTTTTCCAATGGCAACGACAATAATAGTTTATAAACTCGTATACAATCTGAATATAATATTTTTTAATCCAAAATTGACGATATGCAATTCGTGAACGTGAACGTGGTTCGACTAAATAGAACAAATACATAAATGTAAATTAATATAGCGTAACTCTAGAACCAAACTTTACAATAACTAAATACAAATAAAAAAACGACTGACAGATGTTTTCCCAGTAACTCAGAACTTTACTTTAGCTTGTAGATTTTGCTCTTCGCTTGCGAACCTTTAGCTCCTTACTGCCAGAACACCTCAACTATACTGCCAAGTTTCTGGGCCGGCTGCATGCCTTACCCATGCGTAAATCTAGTTACTTAATTTCCTATGGTACTTGAGATAGACTAACGAACATAACATAGACTAGTAGTTCCAAACCCACAATTAGCCTATATTTGTGAAAAAGGGACTGACATCTCATTTTTCAGTCACAAAGAAGTTGATATTTGATAGTATATATTTCTATTCTCACATATTTGAAAATCCACTGTAAACTCTTTTGGGAAAAAGCTAATAAAACTGACCAGTGGTCAGAACATACATAGTTATGAGCTGATTACCGCCGGTTCGCTTGTGGCTGGTTCAGGGTCGACGTCACTGCTGCAAAAGCCCATGCAGCTTTTAAACATAAGTTTGAACATAAGCAAACCCAAGTTGGCTGCCATTGCACCTAATACGCATTCCGTCACCAATGGTCTCACTGCACCCATATGGGTGTCTTTCCGTATAGGGTCAAAGGCGGCAATCATGATTACCATAATAATGTTCACTACGACAATCACGATGTATGTCCATTTATAGTGTGTTTGCATTCGGTTTTCATCATCCTTAAACAGTGCGGTGAAAAGTGCCTTGGACGGATATAACAAAAACGGGATAAAAGCATATGCGAAAACGATGAACAATAAAACCCCACACACTAACGCACGATTTCAAAATATGATTAAAATCTTCCCTGGAGCCAAAGTAATGTTTTTCGATGTAATTTAGAGTCAGCGCGAGGGCAACAAAATGAGCGGCAAAGGCAATAGCCAAAAACAGCCGCGTAAATGCGTACGCAAAGACAGCAATTACGACGAATCGAGAAATGAAACCAGACAGCTCGTGCAAGAAAGATAAAGCAAAGAATAGCAAGTTATTATACTCGTCTTCCAGTATTTTTCTTTCAAGGCCGATAGTACTCGAAGTCAAGCCAAGAAGGGAAAACACGGTGGACAGTATGGTATACTATGGGAATTCCCATTTAAGTAACATGATGTAAACCTGAAAGCACCATTGTGGAGCGGACTCATACATTGCCTCCATATAACGTGCTATAACGAGAGTATCTCCAATATCACGAACTTCGTATAGTTTTTTTGCATAGCAAGGCGCCAAAACGCTGATGACAAGAGGAATGACAGTAAAAACTAGTGTCCAAGCAAACCACCCTTGATCACCATTCTCGCGATGTTTAATAGCCACGTAAATATCTGTGCCCAGATCAGCTGCAAACATAACGAAGCTTACGATATACATTATCTTCCCCATGATCTTAAGATGAGCTGTAAAACGAAAATGTAAAGTTGTATATAGAGTGCCTCAAAAAACCCATAAACAATTGCGGTCACGCCTGACAAAAAGAACAGTAATGGCATTCATCCTTCGTTACATGATCAATCTTTTATCGCTCGATAGTAAAAACTAATAACCGTACTAGTATACTGTATCAAATGACACAGATTGCCGTGGTCTGCATTGGATATGCAAAGGCTGCCATATGACCCAAATGGAGCAATATGATGCTTTTTGTATGATTAATTATGCATGAACTTCACAAATATATACAAATGAACACAACGCTGACGTACAAGCTGAATGAAACGACTTTTTACTCTACTATATTTCAATTTTTCTTTTTTAATGAGAAAATACAAGAATCTACCACACGATTTGGGCCTATGGCGCTTAGCAACTGCTCAAACGGTTAAACCAAACTCTCCGATACAGCGTTGATTTTCCCCAAGGGTAGCCCAACAGTCTTGTAAGACAGCTAAATCATCCACAGCGAGTGCGGATTGAACCGTTTCGCAAATACAAGAAGTTACAGACATACCGAATCTTTCATAGAAATCTTCGACAAAGCTCCAATGATTTCAGAAGGACAGCGCAGCATGCCAGCATATCGTACGCGTCAAATACTAGTATAAATAGTTCATCCTTGGACCTAAAGTCCAAAGGTAGCGATACAGGTTGTGGAGAGCAAGTTTAGAATCGTATTGGCTATTTCTAAAACCAGGAACGGGGAATCGGGGAACGGAACGGGGAACGGAACGGGGAACGGAACGGGGAACGCGAAAACCCGGAATACTAAAAGCCGGAATACTAAAACCCGGAATACTAAAACCCGGAATACTAAAAGCCGGAATCTCTAAAACCCGGAATACTAAAAGCCGGAATCTCTAAAACCCGGAATACTAAAAGCCGGAATCTCTAAAACCAGGAATACTAAAAGCCGGAATCTCTAAAACCAGGAATACTAAAAGCCGGAATCTCTAAAACCGGGAATACTAAAAGCCGGAATCTCTAAAACCAGGAATACTAAAAGCCGGAATCTCTAAAACCAGGAATCTCTAAAACCCGGAATACTAAAAGCCGGAATACTAAAACATATGGTTAAGTAAATTACCAATAACAATCATGAGTGCAACGCGGTGTAAATTGTAAAACTAGCTATAGTTATATTTGAGTACAATTACAAAAGTAAATATTGAAAATGCTGGCATCTTTGTAAATGCTGGCAACGCTATTCGTCTCGGTTTTTATTCAGCGATATTCACTTCGCCTTCGAATTCGGCGAATAATTGTTAAATGTTTACTGTTATATTTGTTATTTTATGTTATTAATATTGACCGCTGATAAGATTGCGGGCACTAGAAAAAACAAGCCTCGTGGTCTCTGCTTCGTGCTCATCGAATTCGAACGCGTATTTGGGTTATATGCAAATGTTTTTTAAGCATTTCCATATAAATGAGTGCTAAGTTACCTATTTTAAAAGTTGGAACCCCAGCCGCAGACATTGTTATACCTGGTGTAAAACAATTTATATGGACAGACGCGCAAGAGAAGTGCAAAATTGGTGAAGGAAGTTTTGGTGATGTATATTCAGCTAAATTTAAGGGCAGACTCGTTGTATTAAAGAAATTAAAATGCCAGAAAAAACAACGAGACAAACTATTATTTACCAAAGAGGTACGCATTCTCAGTGAATTGCAATGTAAGCACATTGTTAAAGTTGAGGGCTTTTGCTCGAGTCCCATAGCAGTAATGCTAGAGTACGCCTGTTTTGACTTTCAACCGTTGGGAATTAATGGTGATCGTGTCACTTGTTTGATGGAATACCTCGATTTTGTGTGCAGTGGAAACTTTGTGAGCAATTGTTTTTTCTTCAGCCAAAGATTGCACAAGATATTATCACAGCGATTGCCTACCTTCACAAGCGAAACATCGCCCACAGAGACATTAAGGCTGCAAATATTCTGGTTTCCAACACTCACTATTCTCAATTGACAGATCCTGACGAAATGGAAAAGGCCTGGTCAAAAGAGAATATAATTTGCAAACTGGCTGACTTTGGGGAAAGCCGTTCAATTATGAATCAAACTGCTACACTTAATCACACCAGAACTAAAAATCTTGAAAGGGGAACACTTGTTTATAATGCACCAGAGGCATTGCTAATCTCTGACCAAACTATTTCTTTTTCCTTAGAAGAACTGAAACAGTCTGACATTTGGTCTCTTGGTATGGTGTTGTTTCTTTTAGTTAATCCTGATGTTGAATACCCATATTCCCAAGAGATAGAAGAATGTGGTTTCGAAAGCTTTTCAGAAGTAAAGGATGAACTTCGAAAGCTAATGGAGCAAAAAAAGAAACCAAGACACTCTGTAGAATATGATTCCCTTCGTCTAACCCAGTGGTCAAAGATTAGCAAAGCTTTTGAAGCTTGTTCATCTTTTATACCAAGTGAAAGAGTTTCTGCTGAAGAAGCATTAACCATTGTGTGCCCAGATTGTGAGTCTAGTGGGGAGGCATTGGCAGTTATCCCTGCACCTGAGTGTTTAATTAATGTTAACAAGGACCCAAGTTCCAGTAAACATGGCAGCACCATCTCAGCACCTGAGTGTTTAATTGATGTGAACAAGGACCCAAGTTCCAGTAAACATGACAGCACCATCTCAGCACCTGAGTGTTTAATTGATGTTGACAAAGATCTTAAAGAGGTAAATATGATGTATTTAATATGATTTAATTTTCTAGCTTATAATAGGTGCCAAACTTATATGATGTGCACCACCTTAATGTTGCCCAAGGTAAAATATAAATCTCTTTAGGATTAATTACTACTTACTGATTTTATTTCAGATGGAATCCATCGATGTTGCTGAGAATAGAGATGGTATCACAGAAGATGTACATTCTTCAAGGTATAAATACATTTCGTCTCCTACTATAACCACTGCACAAATTGTGAGTGTTTGTCATATGTTTTAATCCTTCATGTCACTTCAGTTGGATATGATGTAGCCACCATGCCATGATCAATTATTGACTGTACCTTAATATCAAAAACAACCCTAGCCTCTTGCATGGAGTTGTCAAATATCACCTGAACCTGTTTGTAAAAGCATATATGAAGGGAAAATGTGCTATTTCTTGTTGATTTTATTGAATGTACCCCCTGAAAAAAAATTTAAGACATTGACATAGATAGAAGATAGACAGATATATATCATTAACCATATGTTTTAGTATTCCGGGTTTTAGAGATTCCTGGTTTTAGAGATTCCGGCTTTTAGTATTCCTGGTTTTAGAGATTCCGGCTTTTAGTATTCCTGGTTTTAGAGATTCCGGCTTTTAGTATTCTTGGTTTTAGAGATTCCGGCTTTTAGTATTCCTGGTTTTAGAGATTCCGGCTTTTAGTATTCCTGGTTTTAGAGATTCCGGCTTTTAGTATTCCTGGTTTTAGAGATTCCGGCTTTTAGTATTCCTGGTTTTAGAGATTCCGGCTTTTAGTATTCCTGGTTTTAGAGATTCCGGCTTTTAGTATTCCGGGTTTTAGAGATTCCGGCTTTTAGTATTCCGGGTTTTCGTGTTCCCCGTTCCGTTCCCCGTTCCGTTCCCCGATTCCCCGTTCCTGGTTTTAGAAATAGCCGAATCGTATTGATGAAGTTTCCGTTGAAGCACAGTATGCAGCATCACACATTCCTGAGTGTTTTTCTGGCTTCAAACAACATCTGTCCTTAAAACAATGCTTAACCCATGAACATATTGATCGTTTTTACTGACTTTGACGGTCACGCATTAATCGAATGCTTCGTATGGAGAAAATACGTCTCTATTTATGCTAACATCAACTTATATAATTTATTGCGGTGCGCAAATCGCGTGTTTGTCATATGATATATAGGAATAACACTGCCGCATATTATCCACCGGCATGCGTTGCGTGATCATTATTTGCATATTATTGTGAACTTGCAATTGAACACAAAATAAGCGGAATCTAACAACAAAAATATAAACAAGAGCCATACAAAAACGTACACAACTCTGAAACATGTCAAATACCTGTCTGCGCAATTGCGCTAAGCGCTAGCGCAAGTGCCTGACCGCGGCCTAAATTTGACGGAAGGCCTTAAAATCGCAATCAAAATGAAAATGGGTATCTAAGCGACTTGTTATTACACTTTCTGTCCTTCATTTGTACCATTTCTTGAAGCTATGAACTGAAATTTTAATCTGAATTTTGAAGTTCTAGTGTTGATGTGTCAGAAAGAAAATATTTGACAAAAACTGCCCAAGTACGGCTCCCAGAGCAGTAATTGTCAATTTTTGAAAAAGTAATGCGTTAAATCTATAGATTTCCAAATTCATTTTATTTCTTTTTATCATTTCTATTTTCTTTTGTGGCGGACTGAGTGGGGTGCAGGAAAACCTTCGTTGTGGCTGAATTATTAGGGAGCTTTAGCAGTGACTACGAGTACGAGATTCGTCATTCTCGCGCGTTGTTTGCTTACGCCATCAGTCAAAACTCGTAGTCGCCAAGCTTTTGAGTACGAGTTTTTTGATAAATTTCGTACTCGAAAACCCAACGACTACGAGTTTTGACTGATAGCGTAAGCAAACAACGCGCGAGGATGACGAATATCGTACTCGTAGTCACTGCTAAAGCTCCCTATTACACTATACCCCTTCCTTACTATTTATCTATGGTAGAGAGGCCTGACTTGCAAATAAAACAAAAAACATTGTAGTATATTTTCACTCCTGCATGGCTGCATGTGCATCGGGAATTTGCCACGTGAAACCACATTACAGATGGCCTCTGAGTATCGGAGGAAATTTGAGAAAACTGACCGCCATGTAGAGAGGAGGTTAAGATCGACTTCCGCTACGAATACCAATTCCGAAATATATGACGTGTGGTCGGATTATGAAGACTTTTCAATAGAATGATATCAGCTGTGTTCGTATTTTAACTAACACTCAAAATAACCGGCCTCCAGGTTATAGAAATAACTATATAAGTTTATCTCAAAAGCTTTAAAGCAACGCGTACTAGCTAATTTACCTGCTGTGTTCGTACGTTTACTTACGCCGAATCAGGGTATGGCTAGCTATGTTTACATGACAAAAGCCCCGTTTACATTACACTCAATTTATCGGCACGGTACGGCTAAAATTGGTACCCGTACCTAATTTTATTAGTGTTCAGGATACCAAAACAAAGGCCGAGCAAATATGAAATGGTACGGGTACCCATTTTAGTCGTGCCCTGCCAATAAATACAGTTATTATTATTATTATACATAAAACATACTCCCAATAGGGCTTTTCAGTATGTACTAACAAGGCTAAAAATAGGTATATTTCTATCTACAATTACGTTATTGACTATGCTATGTTTATAAAATATGTTTACAATTAAGAGAAATCCTAGTTATATAGTTATACTAAGATTTTAATACTTTAACTAAGATAGGTTTCCGTTAACGTTATTTGTTAACATATTTTTCTTTAAGTGCTTCTTAAATGTTTTAAAAGGTAGTTTTTTAAAATCTTTATCTAAAATGTTCCAGATTTTTATTGCTCTATAGCAAAAACTTCTTTGACCTGATGTTGTTTTGCATGGGGGAATGTCAAGGTCGTCTTTATTCCGGGTGTTCTTGTTGTGAACTGCATTTCGTTTTAAAAACTGGTCACATAAGTACGGCGGTGCAAGTTCGTTCATGCATTTATAAGCCATTAGTGTATCTCTGTACTGTAAATGTTCCTTGACTGGGAGCCAACCGATCGCCTGTAGTACTGGTGTTATGTGGTCGTATTTCCTTGTATTTGTTATGATCCTACAAGCAAAATTTTGTACTTTTTCGAGTTTTTTTATGTTTGTTGCCGATGTATTCGACCACACCGTAGAGCAGTAATACAATCTGCTCATCACTAGGGCATTGACAATCGTGTGGAGGGTTTCGCTATCGAAGCTGTCCTTTACTTTATTTATTTGGTACAGTTTTGCCATTGAAGATGATATGACGTGTCGTATATGATGATCATAACTTAAATAACTGTCCATGAATAGCCCTAGGTCTTTGGCGTAAGAGGAAGGTGTGATCTCTTTTCCTAGGAACGAGATAACCAGTCCTTCAGTAAGGTTTCCGATTAACTGTCGAGTGCCTAAATACAGTGTAGTGTAAACGGGGCTAAAATCTTCACGCAACCCTTCAGTCTTGCCAAACAAAGCATTAACGGTTAAATGATATAACTGCAGAACTGCTGCTGGAAATGACGATTATACGGCAATTATAGTTCACTATACGTACCTGGTAAATGTTAAGTCTCATTCACTGACATGTAAGCGTTGTAAGCTGTACAGCACAAAGTATCTCACGCAGTCACGCTCAAACTGGGAGAGCATATAAACAAATATAAAGCATGCTCGTTCGTTTCCGAGACTACAATTATCATAAATTAGCACAATTATCTTAAACTATAATAGTAAAAGCCATATGGTTTCTAGTAGGCTTCTAACCCACCTTTGCAATAATTTGTTTCTTTTCTTATATGTAATATTTTTTTGGGCGAACTTTAATTTTAAATAAACCTACCTCTTCACTTCAAAATTTAACCCGAAAACGGTACTTGCGACTTCCAAGTTCCAATACCATTTCATTTCATACGATTGCTAATTCTGCGAATGCGCCTGTCTGTGTTTTCGTACTGGTATTGGTACCGGAAGTCGATATTTATCTCACTGATAGAGAGCTTAAGCATGCGACGTATTTGTCAACACGAACGTCACGCGTTCAAAACAGTCTTGCTAAAATATTATTATAAATCTTTAGCAGTGAATTATGGCTCTGAAAGTCCTCGAACATTCAAAACCATATGTTTAAAATGTAACTTGGCGCGCAGTCTTGCGTGTCCAATATCCTGCTGTAGTTAGATAATACGAGAATGAGAGTTGATAAGGTCTATTAACCTTTATTATATATTCGATGTGAATTTCTATTTCACTCAGTGGTTATGACTGATTGAGGTAACCAGTTTTCATTTTCTTACTAGATCTTACCTACTCTTGGTCTGGTGTTATGTTAACTTTGTTTCTTTGTTATATATTTGTCATGTTGTGCTTTATGGCCCCTTATATGGCATGTCTAGTGGTTTCTGTACTCCGCGGTAATTGGCAACTAGCTGTTGCGGCTCCCGTGTCAATTTATTGTTGTTACCATATGATCGGAGTAGCACAAGAGCAATTACGCATTTGAAATAAACGACAAAATTTTTAATTGCAAACATGTTTCGACTTAACTATAAGCCATCTTCAGTGCGAATGAATAGATTATTTACATTGTGAATTATACAGGGTGTATCAAAAAAAACGCAACCACTTAATATTCATGAATATCCTCTTTGTTTTACAACACAAAAGACGTTTGGCCCCTGGAATGCGAGAAAGCTTGTACTGATCATATTCTAGCGGCACAATCGTCGGTAAACAAAGTCGGGTGCGTAAACCAACGAGCTGAATTGAAAGTATTTAACGAGTAAAATTTTATTTACAATTTATTTTACAAGGTCGACAGTTAGCATTCAAGTTATCATGCACGACAATAAAAACTCGTTGTTCGGTTGTTACCTGCACCATTATTAGTTTAGCTGATTTGACTATTAGCAGTTGAAATGTACGATTAGAAGCCATTTTAAAATCCCAGGGGCATAAAATCTATTGAGCTTATGAACAATATGAATTTTAGAATATTAAGTGGTTGCGTTTTTTTTGATACACCCTGTATAAAGTAGAAATATGATATATACATGCGAGGTGATACTCAATATTCTCCTTATATCGCACTATTCTCCTTTTATCAATTGCCTATATACATGCGAGGTGATACTCAATGAATAACTAGATTATTTACAAAAATGATTGACAACATAACAGGATACAGAATATGCATACTAAGTGAGACAACACAAAAGACAGAACATAACAACAACAGAATTATTTATAGCTGGAAA